GAGCCGATCGTTTGATGCCAGAGGGCTGTTGTTTACAACGAGCGACTGTGTCTGTAATAGATGGGCCCGACAAGCAAGCAACCCCTCAACAAACACTTCAGGCTTCAGGCTCATTTGAGGAGGAAAGAAACTAATTTTGTCTGTGACAGTGAGGGAACACTGTGCAAAAGCATGTTGTCTTAAATTTTACTTAAATAAAAATTTAATTGTATTACTGGACTCTTTGTTATTGTAGCTTGTTTAACCCAAGGTGTTCAGGTCTGTGGGACCCATTTTCAATGTTTGCTAAAAGAAAAAGTAATGCTATTTATTAATTCTTCTAACTCAAACTTATTGTCCATGGCTCATTTTCTGTGAAGAGCATAAAAAATTACTTATTTTCAATGACTGCACATGGTACACCCTCCTACACAACTATAGAGCTCCGGAAGCTGACGTCATGCAATCTAAACTCCGCCATTTTGGCAGGCAAATCAGGAGAGCGCCAGAGCGGCTATAGCAGAGATTTCGCTTGCGGTCGAATGATTTCGTCTCTTATCTAATTTAAAACAATACAATTTCAACATGGTGGACAGCTGCTGTGCACCTGGATGCCAGAACAGGCGGAGGATAGCAAAGGGGAAATCATTTTATCGTATTCCTAAGGATCCTGATAGACGACAGAAATGACTCACTGCAATAAAACGTGCTAACCAGCTCATCAAGCAATGGATTTCGCTTGTGCAGTGATCACTTCATATCAGGTATGTTCTTTCTAATGTAGCTAACTTAGCTAGCTAACATGTTGAATATTGTTTCTGACGATTGTAATGCCATTACGTTCAAGTTTTCTACCCTCTACATAGCTTATATGCGACTAAATCTTCACTATGTGAGACTAGAGTTTACACGTCAGTGTGTAATGTAACGTATACATTTAGCAGCATATATTTATATTCACTCGCTGAACACACTGACTGAGCGATTGTCAGGGTTCTGCCCTGGCAGCCTTGTCTTTGTCTCTGTTTCATGTCTCTATGTGTGTGTTGTGCTTGAACTTGTGGTTTTGTTTGTGTGTGCCATGTGCTTCTTTGTTCCTGCCTCCTTGTTTCCCTGTACCACGCCCTCTTGTCTAGTTTAGTCCTCATTAGCCTGAGTGTCACCTGTTGCTAATGTTCTCTGTTCCCTTGTTTGAGTCCTCGTTTACCTGAGTGTGTACACCTGTTCCTCTCGTTCTAAGCTCCCTTTATATGTGTGCTCTTTCCCTCATGTGTTTGCCAGTCCGTTAAACATTGTACTACTGTGTACTTCTGTGCAACATAGTGTTTCTTGTTTCTAGTTTCTAGAGCTATCTGTGATTTAGTTGTAGAAGAACTTTGTGCTTTTGTTCTGCCATCAGTCCTGTTTGTCTTATCTTCTGTGTCTCCAGTCCTGCTAGCGGAGCTCCCCGGGCAGCTAATACTCTCAGTTTTGGAGGAAGCCTTGTGCTGGGCCTGAGATCCCTGTGTGCCTTGCAGTTTCCTGTCTGGTTACTGGTGGAAGCCTCAGGGCTCATACTATTCTGCCATTGCTACTCTCCAGCCTACATACATCTTGTGCAACTATCTACGGCAGCTCGGCTAGCTTCAACCCCTGTCTTTGTGTCATCTTTGCCCATTGTCTGGACTGTTCACCTCTTCCACCACATCCTGTCATCTGTCTGCTGTTTGTCAATAAACCTGCTAATTCACATTCTGCATTTGAGTCCTCCTTCAGAGACCCGTGACAGAACGAACTGGCCAATTCAGGACTCAGCAGAATGAGCATCAAGATCCTGCCACCTGCTAACTTCCAGGAGAGGATGGCTCGTCATCATGGTCTAACTTCCCTTCGCCAGGATGGCTTTGAGGTTGGGGGTTTTGCTCAATTCTTCTGGACCATGTCTGTGGGGCTAGATTATAATGATGCTGCTCTCAAGGATATCTTTAACTCCTGCCTGGATGACCCCTTGCCTGCATGGGAGATGGATTCTCTCCGTATTCTGGATTTCTGGGGTTTCTCTCGGTACCTTGGTAATCGCAGTAAGTGGGGAATGCCGCCAAGTCCACCAGAATCTGCTTTCAACAACCACCCTGCCCTTCCTCACCTGTCTCGTCACATTTATGATCCTCCTCTGGCTAGCACTAAGTAACTAAGACTCAGACGAAAGAGGGCAGGTCAGTCCACCACAGCTACCCCAGAGTCAGTCAAACCAATCACCATCATCTCTCAGGCATCCAGGTCAGTCCCAGTCACTTTAAGAACTGAGTCAATATCTGTTATTCAAGACACCGCTGTCTTCCCTCAGACTATTACGTCAGTTCCAGCCATCTCTGAGTCTGCCGATTTAACCTCCGTTTTCCCTCTAACAACCCAGAGTTTCCCTGTTACTTCAGAGTCTGCCAGATCTGTTTCAGTCAGTGCTGATTCAATGAAGGTCACTGCTTTTCTGCCGGGGTTGGCCGAGTTAGCTGTTGATACTACAGAAGCAGCCCAGCAAGCAGTATCAGCTCGTCGAAAGAGGAAGAATAGGAGAAAGGCTAGCACTGAACAATCTATGTTTCTCCTTTCCCAAGCTCCAGTTCCAGTTGTTCCTGAGGTATCAAGTCCAGTGAATTCAATTTCTTCTAAACCTTTGAATAGTAATGCCATTCCCTCTAAGACAATCTCTGCCAGTCCTGTTATGTTGACTGAGCCCAGTCCCAAGATTCCTGTTGCCATTGCCGCAGAGGCCTTTTCTGAATGTTTGACAAGTCTTGTCAAGATTCTAGAAATTCCTGCCAAACCTGTCGTGTCAACCAGTTCCGAGTCCGCTTCAGAGAGGGCGGTCCCCGAGCCGTCCGCTTCAGAGAGGGCGGTCCCCGAGCCCTCCGCTTCAGAGAGGGCGGTCCCCGAGCCCTCCGCTTCAGAGAGGGCGGTCCCCGAGCCCTCCGCTTCAGAGAGGGCGGTCCCCGAGCCCTCCGCTTCAGAGAGGGCGGTCCCCGAGCCCTCCGCTTCAGAGAGGGCGGTCCCCGAGCCCTCCGCTTCAGAGAGGGCGGTCCCCGAGCCCTCCGCTTCAGAGAGGGCGGTCCCCGAGCCCTCCGCTTCAGGGAGGGCGGTCCCAGGACCCACTGCTGAGAGTAAAGTTACTAAGCCAACTTCAGAGAGAGCTGTTTCTGAGCCATCTTCAGAGGAAGCAGCTCCTGAGTCCGCTGCTCCAGAGAGTGCAGTCCAGGAGTGCGCTCCCGGGTCAGTCCCCGTGCACGCCAGTGCAGCCCAGGAGGGCGCTCCCGAGTCAGTCCCTGTGCACGCCAGTGCAGCCCAGGAGGGCGCTCCTGAGTCAGTCCCCGTGCTCGCCAGTGCAGCCCAGGAGGGCACTCCCGAGCCAGTCCCCGTGCACGCCAGTGCAGCCCAGGAGGGCGCTCCCGAGTCAGTCCCCGTGCTCGCCAGTGCAGCCCAGGAGGGCGCTCCCGAGTCAGTCCCCGTGCACGCCAGTGCAGCCCAGGAGGGCGCTCCCGAGTCAGTCCCCGTGCACGCCAGTGCAGCCCAGGAGGGCGCTCCCGAGTCAGTCCCCGTGCTCGCCAGTGCAGCCCAGGAGGGTGCTCACGAGTCAGTCCCCGTGCACGCCAGTGCAGCCCAGGAGGGCGCTCCCGAGTCAGTCCCCGTGCTCGCCAGTGCAGCCCAGGAGGGCGCTCCCGAGTCAGTCCCCGTGCATGCCAGTGTAGCCCAGGAGGGCGCTTCTGAGTCAGTCCCTGTCCATAATTTCAAGACGTTCACCAATCTTGTCAGTCCTGTCTTTGCACCCAAGCCTGTCAAGCCCAGTTGGAAGTCCAGACCAGTTAGGCCAGTTCCTGTGTCCAAGAGTACCTCCAATCAAGTTCCCATTCCTCCCATCCCACCTTCTGCGTTTCCTGTTTATGGTTTCCCTAAGCCGACACCTCCGTTGTCAGCCTTAAACTTTTTTCCCAGTTCTGTTCCCACCTGTCCCATCCCTCCCTCTGTTTTCCCTGGTCAGTTTGGGACTTCCATGTTTACACCCCACCCACCCCCCCAGCTGTTGCCTCCGTGGACTTCTATGCCTGTTTTGAGAGGGGGTACTGTCAGGGTTCTGCCCTGGCAGCCTTGTCTTTGTCTCTGTTTCATGTCTCTATGTGTGTGTTGTGCTTGAACTTGTGGTTTTGTTTGTGTGTGCCATGTGCTTCTTTGTTCCTGCCTCCTTGTTTCCCTGTACCACGCCCTCTTGTCTAGTTTAGTCCTCATTAGCCTGAGTGTCAACTGTTGCTAATGTTCTCTGTTCCCTTGTTTGAGTCCTCGTTTACCTGAGTGTGTACACCTGTTCCTCTCGTTCTAAGCTCCCTTTATATGTGTGCTCTTTCCCTCATGTGTTTGCCAGTTCGTTAAACATTGTACTACTGTGTACTTCTGTGCAACATAGTGTTTCTTGTTTCTAGTTTCTAGAGCTATCTGTGATTTAGTTGTAGAAGAACTTTGTGCTTTTGTTCTGCCATCAGTCCTGTTTGTCTTATCTTCTGTGTCTCCAGTCCTGCTAGCGGAGCTCCCCGGGCAGCTAATACTCTCAGTTTTGGAGGAAGCCTTGTGCTGGGCCTGAGATCCCTGTGTGCCTTGCAGTTTCCTGTCTGGTTACTGGTGGAAGCCTCAGGGCTCATACTATTCTGCCATTGCTACTCTCCAGCCTACATACATCTTGTGCAACTATCTACGGCAGCTCGGCTAGCTTCAACCCCTGTCTTTGTGTCATCTTTGCCCATTGTCTGGACTGTTCACCTCTTCCACCACATCCTGTCATCTGTCTGCTGTTTGTCAATAAACCTGCTAATTCACATTCTGCATTTGAGTCCTCCTTCAGAGACCTGTGACAGCGATTACTAAAGTTCATTGCTTTGTAACTTTCTATGTTAGTACTTGGGCTACTGAAAAGTCATAAATGAGTAGATGTTAATGTAACATTAGCTCTGCTAAAATAAGTTTAAGTTGTTGCCATTTTCTGTTTACTAATGTTTTAGGGAAAAAGAGTGACAACCCTCTTTCACCTGACTTCGTCCCATCTATCTTCAACCATCTTCCATCCCCAGAGAAGAGAGGAAGAAAGCGGAAGTTAGATGTGTTCAATAGAAGACAGAAGAGCAAACTCCAAAGAATAGAGCAAGCAGCAAAGTCACCTTGACAAAGGTATGGTGAAAGTATGTTGTGCTCTTACAAATGTTTCAGAATCTGTTGTACCCTTTCAGTGATTATTGAGCAAATGTAATGCCATGCAACTGACAGTAGATGTGGTACTGAGCTAAATAAACCAATTTTTTATACATTTCTTGTTGCTTGTGACATTCATTTGAAAGAGATATTGATATTTTCTAAGTTTTACTTATTGGTGTTTTATTTACTTTAATTGATACTGATGTTTTATTCACTGCTGAACAGACCAGTACATGAAAGAAGGAAAGGAAGGAAGATAGAGGGAGAGTTCATTTACTCTTTCAAATCCTCTCACCACTCATTTTTCACTTCTTTTTTTTTGTGAATTTATAATTTTCTTGCAGCTGGGACATACCCACTGTTTAGGAATTCTTTTAATGCGAAGGCAAGATTGGTGAAACTTTTTAACTGAACAAAAACCTGATGCACAGACCAACATGTCCCCTACTTCAGGCTCACGACAGTAGCACCACTGTTGACCAGCATCAAATGCTGCAGCTGGCTTTGGAGCAGAGAAATACTTGCCTATCAGCTCTGGCATGATGCATTTCTTAAAAAAGTTTGTAGCACAAGCCAATTCTTTTTCAAAAAATGACACATCTGGTTTCACTCGTTCCACAAAAGGTGAAGCACTGTCCCTTTCAGTCCAAAGTATAAAATCGCAATAAGTTTTGTCAGTAACAAATAACTGCATTTTTACTTGATAATAATAGGCATGGTCCCGCTTCAGTCTGATGCTTCCACACTCATTCTTTTCAAGGCAAAAGTTTGGAACTGAGTTTGCTGCCTCGTTTACAGAGAGGTCCTTGGTACAAAATGGGCACTTCATTTCTATGACCCCTGAACCACAACAGCTGCAGGAAACATATCCATCAGGTGAGGCCCCAATAAAAGGATGCGAGACTAAAAATCCGGAATCCATCTGTTTCTAGCAGAACATCTGAGTGTGAGAGGCGATGTTGCATTTCGTAGTATTCTCGCGCCAACTCTTCATGCTTGCATCCCCATCTAAAAAAAACACATAAAATTGTTTAGATAACTTTTAGTATTAATGTCTAACAGCAATGTATAAACATGAACATTTATCTTACGAGCCACAGGCTTTTGTGATTAAGCATTGTTATTAGGAGTGTAACAATATATCGTGTCCCTATATATCGCAATACAAAAATGCAACAATATTCAATGTTTGAACCTGAGATTATTATACAAGCCCAACTGCTAAAACTACTCCCTGCATGGTGCTCAACTGCTAGACTTACTTGTTGCCATATCTTACCTTATATCTGCACTTATAAATACCTGGTAGCCTCAGTGCTGAAGCTATGAGACTCTGGGTAGCATATTTTTCTTATCAGAGACACTGAGGGCTTTCTGACATCTGTCTTTGTGGCTGCTCTGAAGGTTGATGCTGTTATTCTACCACTCCTTTGATCAAACCAGATCCTAGACTTAGACTGTGCTCAAGTCTCCTCCTCTACAATATCACTCTGAAAATATGATTGAAACTGTTAGATAATACATTTTTGGAACATAACTTTAATCCTAAATAATGATGTACCTGTTCTTTGGTCACATTTTTATCTTCAAAGAGTGCTTCTGCCCTGTCTTGTAATCCTTCTAGGCTGACCTCTCTTGCCTGCCTGTCATAAATAGTTGTGAGGTTCCGGTAGACCTAGCATAACAGTCTTTGGCACATAGGATGTTGCATATTCGCTGATAACTGAAAGGACTGCTGGCTTTATTATCTGTCCATCTTGTGTACAGCTTTTAGAAAGGCTGCTGTAAAGCTGGGCTTGCTCAAGATGGGTCAGAGGAGGAATAGTAAGTGGTGGAATAGTAGAGTGGCCTTTGGAAGAGCACTTTTTGCCTCGGTCAGAGACAACAGGGGCTGACGAGCGGTTCAGTTAAGTGCCCTGCCTTGCCTAAACAAACAAACAAAACAAAAAGTTTCGGGAGGTTGATGCATTTGCGTGCCAGCCTAGCTGCAAGAGATGCCATCCATCAATCACGTGCATAGCTTCTTTGTTGGAGGTTGTCCTGGGCTTCTGCTGCACAGGAAGCACCAGAGCCCTCTCTGACACATGACATATGCACAGCTGCTGGATAGGATACAAATATCTTAATAAAGTTGAACATGAATGTTACTTTAAAATACACAAATCATAAAACATAAAAAATAAACATAAACAATGACAGCTTAGTGAATGGTGACATGAGAAGTACTACAGAAGATCACAGGATCAATAACATCCAGCCAGGGAAGGAATAAAAAACGACAGGTATGGCTGCTTTTGGGAATAACAAAAAAGATCGGTACGCAACAACTCTCACTAGTTGCCTGTGGCACTATCTGTTATGAATGGAGCGGAAGAAGATTACCACGACAATTGCGTATTTCCGGTCACAAATACGGAAGTTGTGAGAAAGGTCTATAAGATTATCTGTATTTTACAGTATTTTACTAAGCCAAATCATAAACAAGAATGTCTTAAGGGCAAAAAACTATGAATGTAAAACAGTAGCAGTACTCGAGAGCACGTAGATGTGAATTTGAGAACTTGTACAATAAATATTCGTACTTGTATGTGAACATTTACACTCAAAGATCCGATGTGAAAACCTGTAAAATAAAAATCTGAAGTTGAACGCTGAGATTTGCACTCACAGACAATAGTCACAAACCTGTATTCTGAATCTGCAGACAAGCAGTCACAAATTTTAAATTATATTTGCACTTCTTCTAACATTCAAATGCGCAGTACAACCTAAAATTGGCACTTGCAACTTCTCAAATCTGTCATATCACTGCACGTTCAAATTTCGCGCCTTGACGGCGAGGCGGCGAGAGAGGGGGGGGGAGCGGGAGCGTTCGAACGATCCGTGTTATTGGTTGGCTCCTAGCCAATGAAATGGGACTTCTATTGTACACGATGATGTCACGAAGCCCGCCTCCTCGTGGATGTTCTGAAACGCTAACATTAATGCATTAGACTGAAATTAAAAGAAATAAATGATATTATCACACTTAGTAAATCACCATATAATAATGCATACTACAGAAAAGCAGATGAACACAGAATATGAACGCAACATGTTAGATTAAGACAGTGGTATTAAAAGACCAAACTCAGAACCACCAGAGAATGTCTAATTGAAGAGAATTGGCACTGGCTGGTTACTTCCGGGTTCTGGACTGGCTGCAGTAACACGTCTGTGTCCATGCGGGGGCGCTCGCGGTCGAGTGCAGTATTTGGCAGCAAAATGACGGAGAGGAAGAGATAGCGGTGACATCAAAGAAAAGTGGTCCACACCAAGTGAGGAGTCTTTGAAAAGAGTGGAATATCAGCAAGGCAAAGACAAT